TATGACCACTGGGAGTTGAAGAAAAGGGGAAGCTGGATCCAGATCAAACTTTGTGTGATTTTTATCATTGATTTTATCTCCTGTATCCATTCTACATTGATATAACTCCATGAATCTAGTGTAAAGAAATGGAAAATCATGTTCACTTGTTGACAATAAATATCATGTATCAGTATTTTGCTGTCTTCACGAGATGATATAGATTATTAATGCTGAAGTGATATAGAGAAACAGATATGTCCCAAGCATTATATCAAGAAATGTCTTATTCTTAAGAGAATTCGTATATTTATTACTTCCAATAGCTTTTCAAAATTTCATGAATCTGTAAATCAGCCAAACATGACCTTCTCTTTTAACAGAGATCGATAAAATCAAATGAAAATATCAGCTGTAGTGTTAGATACAATAGAAAATAATAAGAAATTCATATGAATATTCATATATTGAGCTCAGAGAATAGGAAACTTGTCAATTATCATTTAAAACATGTTTATAGAATACAAATATATCRGTGCTTGCTTTTTTTTCCAGTGTTGATGAAAATGAATAGTTCTTGGGGACCAAGACTGCCTGTTAAAGTGATGTGATACATTACTATGCTTGCACAGAAGAAATGAGCACAGATGGCGGGTCTATTACTTCTCTAACAAGAAATCCATCATTTTTTTTTCCCCAGGATTCAAATCTGAGCAACACTTGCCCCAGTTAGGCTATCTCTATGGGGATCCTTAAAATGTTTTTCAGTTACTTGTACATTAGGAGTAAAAGAAGCAGAAAGTGATTAATGCTCTTTTAAAACTTCATAATGAATGAAGTCTCTAAAAGCTAGAGTCTGAGATTTTTACTTTTTTTCCACAACTTAAGGGAAACATATTTTGCATATAAATGAAAATCTACAGGGATGAAATTTTAGGTATCATGATCAGATTCCCAATAGCTCATTTAATTCAGATAGATCATTTAGTCCACATTAGGGTGTCTGAAAATGTTGTATTTATAGACATTTCTTAATTAAATACAATGAAATTTGGGAAATAAAAGAACAACATATAAGTAAGGTTAGAATTTTTGTATTTAAAAAATACCTTATTTCARTCATCAGAGAAGTAGATTAAGCAGGAAGAACTGACTACCATAAACTTCTTTTTGTGGTAAGAATCAATAGCACAATGCTTCATAAGGCTTTGTCAATGTCTTATTATACACCTGAAATATGAAACAAGTGTTTTCAATTTGCCTAGTGACTTGTCTAGTGACTTGCCAGAGGTCTTGGAAACCAGTAATTACTGTATGAGGCCTGGACCCAAAGCTTTCACTACTATGGATAGTCTTGTGAGTCAKTTGGGGTCTGTGGGGACCTGTAACAAAGAAAACCACCATGAGGATAAACTGACATGGATCACAGGAAAAGAAACAGAGCAAGGTTTTATCTATTTTGGGGGTAGCCAGTCTCATTTTCTCATTTATCTCATGATCTCATGAACCAGTCTCAATTATCTCATAAATGTTTAAGGCTGAGGGGACAGCATTTTTCCACATTGTTCATGGTCAAAGCAGCAGACTGTGGAAAGTCACAGGGAGTCATTGATTTGCTTGGCTGTCTCAGGGATGGAAAGGATCACACAAAGAGAGAGAGTGGAAAACAGAGAAGCAGGACAGAGCAAGTAAGACCAGTACTGATGCACTTAAAGTGATGGAGTAATCCAGCATTTGCACATGGCTTGTCACTGCTTCATTGCACTTGCTCTCTTGGCTTCAGCTTCTTCCCCTTCCTTGACCAATGGAGAAAAGCCAAGCCCACCCCCTGAGCAGTCAGAAGGGGTGCGATTTGAGTAACTAATGTGAGTATCTTCCATGATGGATAGGTGATTGAGTGGATTTCCTTCCTGGCAGCAAGGAAAAGTAACCTGGCAGGGAAAACTGTAAAAGAAGAAAATATTTACCAAACATTCATTTTCTTTAGAAAAGTGGAAGGGCAGGCATGAGAGTGAAAGAAAGGAGAGAGATAGTCCCAGGTTCTACCATAGAAAGGAGTCCCTAAACTCTACTCGGTTTTTATTTACCATGTGGAAAAAAAACATGAGAAAGGAGTGATGACCAGCTTTGAATGAGTCAGTGCCAGGCAGCTCCCCAATGAACTAAACTGATAAATTGCGATCTTGTTGAATCTCAGGTTTTATATGAGTTACTTTTGGTTTATTTTTTCTAGAACAGTTAAATAAATGGTATGGTCAACTGAGTTACAAAAAGAAAAATACCATTCTTTTCCAAATATTTCTGCAGTTTACAAGCAAGTTTACCATAGCTGGCTTGATAGCATTTGGGAAAAGATATTAGTTCAGCAATTTTAAGTGACAGAAAGTGAGAATGTGGGTTTTAGATGCTCTAACATAGAAAATGAGAGAAGTTTAGAAAATGAACACCCTAGCCTTTTAAGTTTTTTTTGATATTGTTGTAGTATGAAGAGAAATTGCACTGTTAAACTACTAAATCATGGCAGTTGTCCATCTAGAACCATATTCTTCATCTGAAAAGGGGAAGGCAGGAAGGAATGCCTTACAAAATTACCTATTTTGATTTAGGCAATTGATTGTGAAAGATGGATTTTTGTGCTTGGGAATGTTTTTGTTTTGTTTGTTTGTTTTTCAGRAAATCCCAGAATAACTTTGTTAAATGTTTCCTCAAAGTCTAGCAGATAAATGATAGATTTTGCACACTCACCAGTAAAAACTTTTATTCCATCACTAGCATAAGCACAAAAGAYAGTCTGCTATAAACCACTTTGGAGAGTACATCAACTGTTCATACATCCASTATATTCAACACTGCTGTGAAGATTCTTTTAAAAATCATTTCAACTGCCAAATTCTAATGAATTACATTATGTACATTAAACCTTGCTTTCCTGATTGTGCAACATCAATATCTACTTCAAGTAATGGCATGACTAGTGAATCAGCACTGGGCTCAGTAAGGGCCTAAGTAATAGGCTTGTTATTTTTAGTGTTTACCACGTGTAAAAAAAGTGTTTACCAGTTATATCAGCTAAAGCTGATATAATGTGTCCTGAATATTGAATACAGCTGACAATATATTTTCTCTATATTCGCTCTAATGAAGAGCGAATAAAGCTGGGTCCTTTAAATCCTAACATCACTATTCCTAGGTGATCATTGTTGTAATATCTTGATATATGATTGAATTTAAAATTGATATTATATTTATTTCCAGTGAACTTGACTGAGTGCAGAAGAGAAATAGAAAGATTTGCCATAAACAGTGCATACAGAGTTGTATGTGTAAAGTCTAGGATTTTAGAGCTTTCTGTGAAAAACTGSATGTTTAAGAGACCTGAGCAATGCAAGACTGCTGAATTTGTGTCTGTCAGCAAAATCCTTGCTGATATAATAAATAAATTAACTTCTCAAGTATTTTGCACTACTTCTAGTCAAAATGAAACATCTATCAAAATGTATATCAAAAAGTATATAATGCCTAAAGAAGCTCATAATTTTTGACATATGTGTRGAAGGCGAGCTATAACTTCTGAAACCTACAGAGGATTTAGAATCATTTTGTACGAAGAGGTTAGTATCTTTCTATGAAGATGGACTATGTCATTTTAGGAATGGAATCTCAGTTCTTGTGTGCATCCTTAGGAATTCTTAATATTAATTTATGTGATATTTAAGCAAAATCAAAGCATCAAGATCATAAATTATGGTGGTGTGACAACACCACTTTAGAGAGCATAATTCACCATTTAGCATTCTCTTAAATACCAGGAAGAGGGGAAAGTGTTTATTCTTTTCTAATGCAGTTTATCCCTCTTTTCCTTTTTTATTCTTTTTTTCCTTATATGTCTTTTTTTGTATGATTTTCTCTCCATATTCCATTCTTTAAGCTAATTTCCACCATCTATAATTAAGCTCTTTCACCTATCACTCTTTTTTTTTTCATTTTTCTTTTTTTTTTCCCCTATTCCACCTTTCAGAAGTATCAGTGATAAAATACACAATGTTGTAATTAAACTGTCCTCTTTAGTATTTAATGTAAAGTGGCCTAAGGAAGAGAGCCATCTCTCTGGGCCTCTCTAAGTGGGCCTTATCCCACTGARACATTTTTTTTCCATCTGTCTGCAAACTCAGTCAGTAAACAACACTAATAGTTTTCTAGTTGTTTCATGCATATAAGGTGTTCTATAATGCTAGGAGGACTAGCAATTTTTTTCTATGAACTCAGATTCTGCAGTATTTCAAGATCTTATTTTGCCTATGCAATACAAACATATAAAAGACAGGAATTAGACATTTCTGTACTCCATTATTACATACATATTAATCATATGAGTGATCATATGAGTGAGCTGGGCCTGTTTTCTCTGGAGAAGAGAAGGCTCAGAGGGGATATGATTAATATGTATAAGTTCAGGAAGGGAGAATGCAGGGAGGAAGGGGACAAGCTGTTCTCACTGGTGGCCAGCGATAGGACAGCCTCTCTTCGTACGAGAGATGTTCCATTCCCTTAATCATCCTGGTTGCTCTTCTCTGGATCCTCTCGAGAAGCTCCACGTCCCTCTTATACTGGGGAGCCCAGAGCTGYACACAGTCTTTATACAATCACTATGTAATGTGTGTTTAATAAACACAAGTTTCACAAAAAAAAAAAGTATAGTATATAGAACTAAAAGTTCATCTGTGCCAAATATATACAACTATACTCGTAGTAAAATTTGTAGTAATTCATAATAATTTGCAATCTGCAGTAAAATCTTTTAGTAAAATTAAAGCTATAATAAATAATACTACTTTACGGAATATACTAACTATATAGTGCTATATTTCTTTTCTATCAAAAATATGTATCTGGAATGAATGTATCCCATTAAAATGGAATGTTTGTGCCATGAGGACTGAATTAATTTAGACTAGAAGGTGATTATTCAAGACAAGAATAGTTTGATAAACTATTTTTGTTGTGTTTGTGTGTTAAACTAGCTACACTCATCGTGTGGTTGGCAGTGGAATCAAAGCTCAATCTGGGAATCCAGAAGTAAAAGTGAAAGGAACAGATCCTGTAATAAGTCAAATTATTGACAAGCTGAAACATGTTATTCAGGTAAGCTGCTTTTACCTATGGATAAATACTACTTACTGTAATTATAGCAGTAAAGATCAACTTTAGTTGTGAAATGTACTGCTCATTGTTACTGAATGTTACTGTTCAAAGGTTAATTGTTAGTTCAATGCACTTTCTCACAAAAATATTTTTGCATAGAATATTGTAGCTCCAAATATTAATGACTTAATTAAAATGTTTGTGTGTGGTAGGTGAATGTTGGAAGTAAGTCTCTGGCAACTGGGCCATCTGTACATGTGAGTACAACTCAGTACTACGATAAATGGAAGTGCAATCAGTCTAATTTAGGAATGTTAATAGGGTGTGCACGTTTGAGAACAAATAAAACACAATTTTCACCCAGGACTTCWTTCTAAATCTGCCTCATTTCTAAAAAGGACTTGATGTCAAGGCTTGTTTATGGATGAAACACAGAAACACGAGGAAATCTGAACAGGACAGCATGCTTACTATAGTAGCTGGTTTACATGGTCTGAGGTACTTGTGTGTGATGTACTAAATTTAAGGTTTACAAGGTAACCAGTTCCAATATGTGTCTACATAGTTGAATTGTAGCAATATTGTAATATATCTACAATATTGCTATACATTATACAATATTGCTACAATATATCTACAATATATCTATATAGATACAGATAGATACCTTGTAGATATATTGCAATATTGCGATCTATAGCAATAATCTATAATCTATAATCTATAATCTATAATCTATAATCTATATCTATAGATAGATATAGATAGGTATATCTATCTTTTTTTCTGTATGGTTAAAGTGTATTTTATATGTGTAGCTAGCCACAACTACAGGACAAAAACTTGACCCTATAGAAATCAACAGTTTTGCAGATTCCATATTTCAGTCAGAAAATACAGGTTTCTACTTTGATCTGAAGACTTAGCTGCCTTATGGATGTAAGATATGCTGTAATGCCATTGGTCCACTTGGCAGTAATTCCTCTAGCCCCATATATTATATTCAGCATTGGTAAAAGGACAAGGAGATTATTTAGGGAGGGCAGGGCATGTAATCTTGGCACCTTTCTCCTCTCTACTGTACTGCCCAAGCTTGAGAATTAGGGGGGTTCTAAGAGGGTTATTCCTCGTCTGGATCATTTAGTTTCATTTAAGGACATTCTTTAAGTTTGGTTTACCATCTTCTTGACAGCTTTTAGATACACATTCCCAGGTGGCTTCCGGAACTGAAATAAGAGAGCCCCTCTAACAGTAATGATAGCTTCATGATGAACTTTTGGTTCTTATTTCTCTATTTTTGAAAAATAAGTTTTCTCTGACAACAAAAGAATGAATGAAGTAGACAAGACAGATTTTTTTTCTTTTACTCGGGGTGTTTTCTAGGACAAGTGGCATCCGGATTTCAACTCAAAAGCAATCATTCTTTCTTCCAGTTAGAAACAAACATCTTTTCTCAACCTTCCAAATTCAGCAGGCTTATGCCTCTACATTCTTAAAATGATATGTAAGTTAGCACAGTTTTGTATCCAAGGGGATGCTGGGGCTTAATTAAGAACTACAAATTATTCTCTATAGGAAAGAAAAAAAAAAAAGAAGAAGAAAAAGAAACAACCATGCAAATCTTTGTGGGTAATTCTCCAGGTCTATCATCTCTTAGGAATGCCATCCTTTGATATTAAAACTACATTGTATAATTTATTTTATTGTTTTCCTCCAGAGACTGAGTTCTGTGCTTTCCTTAGATGATGATCTTAAAGAGTGCAACAGAACAATTCCATTACAACATATTTCATTTTTAGAGATAATGCATCTTGTCCCAAAAGACTAGACCAGATCCTGGTCAGAAGGACCTAATATTTTCATAACACAAATCTTACTAGCCTGCAAATATAATATGCTCCTATGGGATATTTCTTTCTTTCTTTCTTTCTTTCTTTCTTTCTTTCTTTCTTTCTTTCTTTCTTTCTTTCTTTCTTTCTTTCTTTCTTTCTTATCTGAGTATTGAAATAGGGCTAGGGAATAAAGAGAACATCAAAGACTTTAGAGATCAAGATAAATGTTTTTATCAAATAAAAAAGGCTGATGAAACTTCAGGAAAAAAAAAAAAAGCTTTTTTCTCTACCATTTACTGTTTGGAAAAGGAAGCTGGGGATGGCAAATTACAGGTTCAAATTCAAAAGATCACCTTTTTGTCCTTTTTCATATGAAAAGGATGAATCACTTGTTAAGCTTACTATGGACCAAGCCGAGAGATTAAATAGGGTATGTTTAATGCACTGTGGATGCCTCACAGGTAGAAGTCCCATTTCTATAAAATGAGGTTCAATGCTCTAGCCAAGAAGTATTAATGCACTGTAAAAACGTAAATAGCTAATTTATAAGAAAATTATATTTCCTCTGATTTTCAGAGCTGATCATTCATGAATTCTATGGGGATTTGTATGCTTTAATCAAGCTTTAAAGTAGCAGAAATTAGCAGTGATATGTGATTTGTCATGTTTGAAGGCAATTGTATATTTCACAGAAGTTAAGGTTGGAAGGACMGAAGGACCTTTGAAGATCATCTAATATAATCCCTCTCCTCAAGCCAGATCATGTACAGCAGGTTTCCCACTACCCTGTCCAAGCAGCCTTTAAGTATCTCCAAGGATATCTCCACATTTTGGGGTAGCGTGCTCCAGAGCTTGACCATCCTCACAATTTTTCCTTATATTCAGACTTTTGTATCAGTCATCCTGCCACTGGACATCACTGTGAACAGTCTGGCCACAACGTCTTTACCCGTTCTCTTCATATATTTATACATATTGATAAGATTTCTCTCCACCTTCTCTTTCCCAGGCTGTAAGGCTCTCATCTCTTTATGACAGATGATTTGTATTATTTGTATGTAAATGCCATGTAATTGCTGCAACGTTGCTTGCAAAACAAGTTAATTTATGTTATAGAGTTGCATTTCATATGGAGCATGGAATACAGCCATCCAATTGCTCTATTAGGAGAAAGAAAAAGAGTGATAATTCAGCTTTATGTAACTTTAAGCATTTGAAGACAAAGAACATGGAAGCAGCTCTCAATCAAGAGAGATCAGCTCTCTCTATCACAATGCCATCATAGGATGTAGCCTTTCCTTCTCAACCACACCAGAGTTCTGTGAATTACTGGTATGTATAGCCTGTTTTGCTTTTGATTGTGTACTCTGTGTTTCTACCAAGACTCACATTCTACCAAATGTGAGTACCACATGTAAACATCCAAAACAGARACAGAAACTTCACTTCTGGCATTTTTGACAATAAACACAGTGAAAAATACCATGTAATGTAATCAGTGATGAGCTTGTGACATTTGTTTACTCCAGAGATAGGATTAATTTCTGTATTCAGACATCTACGTGTCAGTTATAAGTTTGCTTTATATGTAATTCTATTTCATGAAGCCTAGACAAAATTTCATTTCATTTCACATTTCATCATTGCTTCATCATTGACCAAATGTAGATGTCTTTTTCAGGATGAGAAGAGTTCTTTAAGCGTATAGAGTATAAAAGGAGGTGATGATACAGTGGCCACATGTTGCCATCTACATTTTAGATCCCTGCAGTTAAGTGTCTGAACTGAAGATTTTCATCTTTGTGTCATTTTCTGAGAGATATTTAGCAGGTACACTAGATCTTCTCATACTGTTACCTTCTGCATTTTCAAAGGGTTATATCAGATCATAAGATAATCAAACTATGAGCAAAACTAAAGTCTGCTTCAAAATGAAGATTTTTCTTTTGTAGGTATCTGAGCTGGGCTGAAATGCACAGAATAACTTTTTGTCTTTTATTTCTCTGAAATTACTCTCTCCTTTTCAGAGATCTTGAGTATAGTTCAGACAGCTGGGAACTTGTAAAGACACATCCAAATATTTAGAGAGCTTTTTTTAAAAAAAAAAAAAATTAATTTCATGGTGAAATACTTCTTTCCAATGATATTTGGAAAGAATGACTTCTTTCCAAAGAATAATCAAGCCTGATGACTAGCCTGGCATTGAGTCTACAGAACTGATGTCAGTTAGAGATATATCCTGATTAAATTTTGTCTTTCCAGCATAGAAATATGTCCAGAGTAGAAAATCTGTTTTAGAAAGCTTCTTTGTTCTTTAAAACTTTCCTTTCCCTTTGTCCTCAACTAAAGAAGGTATCTATTATCACTTTTTCTCGGCAACTGCAATAGATTTTACTTCTTACTTCCAAGAATYCAGGCAGGGGGGCAGGAAAATGAATATGCAGAGGTAAAAGGGAGGGCCCATTGAACTCCAGTGAGCTCCTAGAAAAGCACATATTTATTGTAGATATGATTAAATATCATCAAGTAGCAAAAGACAGAGGTATTAAAATCTATTTTTGGTTATCTTTAGTGCACACATGAGAAAATGGATTAAAGACTCTTCTGCCTGCAGAAAATAATGAGCTTCTCTGAGTTCCTCTTCTTTTCTTTCTAGGTATATATACATGTACATAAAGATCTCTAGCAAATAATGTTCTCTAAACAATTTAACATATGAGGTTTAAGTATATTCTTAATTTTCTAGGTTCTAGTCTATAAAAGTATTGAACCATTGAAATAAAACTTCTTGCATAATGGAAGTTATCTCTTTCCAGTAGGCTATGGTTTCTGGGTTATTGTCCTGGAGGTAAGCTCAGAGTTCATGGACTTTACAAGGGAGACTTTTTTACTATATTCTACAGTGACACATATGCCACAATTTTTGAAAGGCTATTAGTAAACCTTCTTTTCCTGTAAATAGAGGATTTTCCAAAAATCAATAAAACTTTTTGATTCTGTTGGACCCTTACTGTTATAATCTGTGCTCTTGACTCCATGGATTTGTATTCCTAGGAAAGGAGTGCAATTAGAGGAACTAACCTGAACTCTGCTGAATGACAGTGATGAAAACGGCCTTACAGACTCTTTTTTTTTTTTTTCAATTGTTTGTACAGGCAAGTATTTTAGAGAGCTTTTTAAATGATGGGCCCCTCCTCATTCATTTGTCTTCATGGTAGGCAAATAATGGCTTCACTACATATTCTCATATGTTCTTTAATCTGCAGCTATCACTCTTGTTTAACAGGCACTCACAATATCAAAATCAGTTGCATATGCCAACAATAATGATAATTATTTTTCCTTCTTCCGTAATAATTTAAAAACATGTTTCATTTATCATATTGAATGTACAAATACTAAGATTATGAACTAAATATGATGTTTTAGTGCTGTGATTACAAGAGATATGGAATTTAATCCTAATGTATTTCAGTAGATAATCTCAAAGAATGCTTTGAAAATAATAGACATAACTTGGAGCTGGTCTTTATAGGTGAAATAAAACTTTCCTAATTTTAGATAATCCTGCTGCGGTAGAAACTTACGCTATGTCTCTCTGTTTAAATTAGGCAAAGTCTTTTGGAGATCTCCAAAGGCACCTTGCACTCTTCACTGTCTATACTGGAAAATTAAACTATTAATGATTTCCTAGTTATGGGGCAAAACAAAAGATATGCCTAAACTTATCTGGAAGATCTCTTATCCTATATTGCTACACATGTTGTCTGGTATTAGGCATAGGAAATGCTATCTAATTATAATTAGTCAGATCTATACTGAAATGGGAATCCAGTATAAGACTTTTGCTATTGATACAATTTCTAAAAGCCAAGACTAAAACCAAAATCCTATTCATAATCCTATAAAAACAGAATGTGTTTAAGAAACAATTCATGCCGTATTAAACAATTTCTAAAATTTTGTTTAGTAATTGAACCCTAAATTTTGGGTCAAAGTCATACTTTGTTGTGCCAAATGAAGAAGTATTACAGTATGGGAGCATAAGAATATACACTATTCATATGGAATCACACCTATGGATGATTAAATCT